CATAATTCCATGCTAAAACTGGACATGTTCGATTTTTATAAATTAATAATATTATTACTACTTTACGAGAATCGTATAACACACAGTTCAATCTGAACAGGTGATTTCATTTAATTATAGGTTACAAGTTCATTTAATATTGGGTGTAATTATTGCCAAAGGATGAACCTCATGTCATTACCTTGCTCCAAGGTGGCCACTGATCAAATTGCGACACTTATTCTGTTTACATAACCAATGTCTTTTTTAAAATTTTGGCAGGCGTAAAATCAAATATAGGGAGTTACTGAGTCGCAATAGGGGCTGGTCCGATGTCTAGAGATTTATAGAATAGCTAATAATTGCATTATAATCCACCTTCAAAGATATTCAACTTCGTCATCTTGACACCAGTTTTCTAATGAAGTCACTTGGAAAATGAATCACTGAGTTGGACCACATAAAACTCTGAATCCATCATGGCCCCCCATTGATGCACATCAAAAGAGTTTTTTGTCCTTTAAGTGTTGGTGATCAGAAAAAAAATGGTGGAAGCCTAATGAAGGTCGGACAATAGGACGAATGCAATTTGCAACATAAAGCCATTACCTTTTATATTTAAGAAATGCATTGTTCGTAAGGAATTAGGAAGGAGAAAGGAGGCATCTTTTGTGTGTCATCTTCAAAAAGGTTCATCTGACCATTGGCTAATATTTGACCTGGTCACTTTTGACAAGACATCATTTACTTTCTGATGGACCTAACTGAATGTGTATTGTCTCATCGTAGGGTTAACGAAAATTGGCAATAAGTGAACTTGTGTAATGGCTAAAGGTGACAAATCACCATCTACCGCAGGTATCGCTGGCCAGATTTCAAGATAACTATGACCACTGACTCTCTCAGTGAATTTGATGTAATATCGTTGATAACGGCCCAAGACAATTACTTCTTTATCCCCATTGTTCAGCCTTTATCTGTTCAAGTTTTTATGTCTTGGACGAGGTTAGGCCATTAATAACGAACAACATTTTTGATGGACATATGAAACCTATTATTGCCTGACTTTTTGCACCCTGGATGAAGAATAAAAAGAAAAGAGTGAGGTTGGTCATTTGGAGATTGGTTAAAATGATATGATGTGACCATGACGCAGGTATCACTGCTGTGTGATGTACATACAATAAACAATCTACCTGTACAAAAACACCTGTAAATCTTCAGGGATTATAGATCCATTAAAAATTTATCCCTTTTTAATATACTGGGGAGGGATGTAATGGACAGGTTGGACGAAGCGAGAGATAGCCACTGATAAACATGTTATGATAGTACATGTAGAACACAGGTAGAACACAGGTAAATCACAGGTAGATCGTATTTCAAAAGAAGATGTACGAACTATGAACCCCCCTGTGTGTACCGTATCATTAGAACTTCTTTACATTTTACTCAAGTTACCTCCAACCAATGTTCCCCCCTTTTACAAAAAAATACCATAAAATAGAAATTTGAAAGAGTCGGGGTTCAATAAATCAGGAAACTGATATATCATAAAATACCTGTTATTGATCCCATTGATTACAGGTGACATACCAAAACATATTGAATTATGGGGTATTTTTTGATAAAAAAAAATGTCGATAATTTATTTTTTATTTTGATCATAAATCAATCTAACTGTTCAGATCAACATGTTCAAGGTTAGAATCCTTCGATAACAATGCCATTCATTAAATTATGTTTTTAAGGGGTTGGGCGGAGGAGTGGGGAGGGGGGTATACCCAGAACCCCAACTCTTAAATTATTCCGACAAACTATTCCGACTGGCATTAAGCTTATTGCCCTTTGGCAGTTGGATTTTAACAAGGAGTAGTTTCTGCCTGGCCAAAATTTCCTTCAATGCACGCTTCATTAGTCTTATTGGTACAGGACTCTATTTCATTTCATTCTACTTTAACTTGCTTGTGTGTCATAGTACAGGACAAAGGACAGTGTCTAGTCAGTAGGATAGGACAAAAAATCAATTGCTGTGCACGTAAAAGAACCCTTGACAGTTGGAATTTGAAATAATAGAACACTGTATGGAGTAGGCCCGTCTTCATTAGCCTAGATAAAATAGAAAATTAGGACGTTAAATCCATTGCGTTTTATTTTAGATGCAAAAGAACCCCTGGCAGTTGAAAATCAACAAGTAGCTGCTGCCTGGGCAACATCCTCCTCATAACAAACTTCATTTTACTACTTACTCCCACTTTAACCCGTATTTTAGGTGACATCACAAGTAGACTGCAACACGCTTCACTGATTTTATTTGCCTCTGATGAAACGAAAGTAGATTAGATTATTTCTGCTCCACAAAACCTCCACACCATTATATAGTCTGCCTGCTCATCACCATTTTTTTTTTATATTTTTTCGTTCAGGTTTATATTTTTGACAGTGATTGGACGAATGCCTCGGAGGCAACTCTTTTCTTTAACGTACTGTTAACTGAAAGCCTACACTCCTCTCGTAAAACGTACGGGTATATCTACACGGCACGAACACAATGGATAAAAAACCTTTTTATTATATTTATGTATACAGAAGAACTACAGGTTTTAATTATATAGAAGCTAGTAGGATAGACTTTCAATATCCAATTCAATTACCGCATACAGTAGCATATCCAGGTAGGGGCCTTAGGGATCCAGGACACCTCTATGAAAGTATAAAGAAAATTACCGCATACAGTAGCATCCCCAGGTAGGGGCCCTAGGGACCCAGGACCCCTCTAAATAAAAGTATAAAGAAAATTAGCATATCCAGGTAGGGACCTTAGGGACCAGGGACCTCTAAATAAAAGTATAAAAAAATCACTTATTCATCTGTTAATATGAAATGTGTAAATTTGATCTCTTTGTTGGTTGAGGGGGGGGGGGGTTGTAGCTGATGAAACTGCACTACAAATCATAATTAAATCTTTGATTACTCAAGATGTTCTCGAAGAAGGAAAGCCAAGTTCTCCGGACCCCCTCCTGTTTCCGCCACCAACCACAGGATGACAAGAGAGCGATTCCGAGGGGTCGACCCCCTCCTACCAGCACCTCCCCCACCTGCTAGTGCAGAGCGAATTTTATTCTCCTTCATTCATTGAAATAACATCATACAAACGCGAGAAGCTTTGCCACCGCATTGGCCTCAATCCATTCTAATCCTATTCATGTATCCATCTAAATCCGCAGAAATATTGTCTCAGGTATTCCCCCCCCTCAGACCGCCACCTCCCCCTCCATCCCAGACCACCCCTCCCCCCTCTCCTCATCAAATTCCTGAGCACACCTCTGGATCTACAGGTTGTAATTATATAGAAGCTACGAGGGAGAGTCACTCTACATCCAATTTAATAACCACATACCTATGACAAGAAGAAGAGTTATTGTGGATGAAGAGAAAGACTATTGAATTGAAACACGAATACACCGTCTTTGTATTTCACGTTGTTTCATATTTCAAAAGCTTTTACAGATCTATTATGCTGCGTATCCCTGCTGTGATTCTATCGAGAGACGTAAAGAAGCTATCGCAATTTCTTTACTAAGACTTTTTATGTCTGAGTAAACATCGTCACACAATTTCATCTCTGTATTAACAAGAGAAAAAATATATACAATGGTTTTATGAATAATGAAAACTTGATGGAAAAGATTTCATATATTGAATGCGACATCATGGTCTTTTACATGAACTGTTTTTATTTCTAGAAAATGTTCTGCATATTTAATTCTGACTCAAAAGATGCACTTGTATAAAAGAAATGTTGGTGTTTTGTCAACAAAATGATTAACTGTTATAAATTATGGGATGTAATAATATATGGAGAGAGAGACAGACAGACAGAGAGCAAGAGAGAGAGAGAGAGAGAGAGAGAGAGAGAGCAAGAGAGAGAGAGCAAGAGAGAGAGAGAGAGACAGACAGAGAGCAAGAGAGAGAGAGAGAGAGAGAGCAAGAGAGAGAGAGAGAGACAGACAGAGAGCAAGAGAGAGAGAGAGAGAGAGAGAGAGAGAGCAAGAGAGAGAGAGCAAGAGAGAGAGAGAGAGACAGACAGAGAGCAAGAGAGAGAGAGAGAGAGAGCAAGAGAGAGAGAGAGAGACAGACAGAGAGCAAGAGAGAGAGAGAGAGAGAGAGAGAGAGAGAGAGAGAGAGAGAGCAAGAGAGAGAGAGAGAGACAGACAGAGAGCAAGAGAGAGAGAGAGAGAGAGAGAGAGAGAGCAAGAGAGAGAGAGAGAGACAGACAGAGAGCAAGAGAGAGAGAGAGAGAGAGAGAGAGAGAGAGAGAGCAAGAGAGAGAGAGAGAGACAGACAGAGAGCAAGAGAGAGAGAGAGAGAGAGAGAAATGGAGTCATATGGTTCAATTTTATTTCAATAATTGGCTTGTGGGTAGGGGTATTTAGCACTTTAGCAGTACGAGGACCCAGGCACAACCCACAAGATTGGACAGGCAACCCTACTCCTTGTCACGTAAAACCAGGGAATTGAAACCATGCCAGTTGACTCATTGACAGACATGCTAACCATTTGGCTAACCAACCCCTCGCCTGTCTTCAGTATGATGTTAAATCCCTATTTTATTTCATTTCTCTCAACACCCCTTATCTAAAATAAAATGAATAACAAAAAAACACATTTTACTTTGTGAAATGTCCAAATAACTATTATCCCATCTAATAGCGTATTGTCCTTTTTGTTGTAGAATGAACATCATTTCCATTAAATTAATAACAAACCCGAAAACACAAACAAACTATTGTGTGGTTCTTGTGGTCTGCGTACCATCACACCAATTTGAATCATTTTACGATAATAACATGTTTTTTTTATGTTTTTAGGGATAAAAAAAACAGTTTACTTTTTCCACCCTGTTATTTTACGAGTATTTTGAAACTCAACTCATCACGGTAAAAATTTAAATAACATGAGAGCATAGATTTTTATTATTATTTATTATTATTTATTATTATTTATTATTTTTTTTTTAGTGAGGTGGGATTTATCAAACATCACAATTTGAGAAATCAACTCGGCGGTCCATGAAACTTCATCAACAATAGAGGATTATAGTCCTACTGATGATGGTCGTGTTTTAAGTACCACCAGGGATTTACACAACAAAACAATCTGGGATGCGTAAAAAATATGTAAAACGAGAAAACCACAGAAGCTGAACACGACGGTGATTTGATAGAAATGATATTAAGATATGGTATATTGATGAGAAAAAGAGCCTGTGTCTCTTGCTTCATTAACTTGTAAATTTTGTGGAAACAGACCTGTTAGTGTTAAAGATTATCGTTAGGATAAATATGTTAACAATATCTACAGACCTAAATATAATTTATTTTCTGGTTGATAGATTTTTGATTATTACCACCAATTTTAATGGGAGGGAGGGAGGAAGCGAGAAACCCAACAAGGTTGGACAGGCTCACAACAAGCAGGGAATCCAAACAACCCCATTAGAGAGAGAGAGAGAGAGTGGAGAGAGGAGAGAGAGGGAGGGAAGGAGGGAGAGGGACTTTGCTTTCCACAAACTACATCATTTCGGGACTAACATATTGTACAATTTTATTTCAATAATTTGCTTGTGCATAGGGGTCTTTATCAGTGGGAGGAAACTGGAGAACCCAGAGAAAACCCACGTGGTTAGACAAGTGACCCTACTCCTTTTCACGTACAACCGTTAACTATTTGGTCATCCAAACCTCCCACAAATCATAAATATTTCATTTACTGTCTACTTTCCATGCGTTGGATCATAAGGTCTGTCGTTGAGTCAACTGATTTGGTTGTACATGACAAGGAGTAGGGTTGCCTGTCCAACCTCGTGGGTTTTCTGCGGGTCCTCTGGTTTCCTCCCACTGCTAAAGACCCCTATGCGCCAGCGAATTATTGAAATAAAATTAAACCATGTTAGTCCTCTCTCTCTCTGGGGGTTGGGTGGCTTAGTGGTTAGCACGTGCGTGCTGTATCATTAAGTCTGTCATTGAGTCAACTGGCGTGGTTTCAAATCCCTGGTTGTACATGACAAGGAGTAGGGTCGCCTGTCCAACCTCGTGGGTTTTCTCCGGGTTCTCCGGTTTCCTCCCACTGCTAAAGACCCCTATGCGCAACCAAATTATTGAAATAAAATTAAACCATATCTTAGTGCCAAAATGACATGGTTTGTGTGGAGTGGATGCTAAATCTCATCTCTCTCTTTCTCTCTTTCTCTCTCTCTCTCTCTTTTTTTCTCTCTCTCTCTGTTTTTTTTCTCTCTCTCTCTCTTTTTTTTTCTCTCTCTCTCTCTCTCTCTCTCTCTCTCTCTCTCTCTCTCTCTCTCTCTTTCTCTCTCTATTTATTTCTCTCTACTGGTCCATTAATTGACATGCATTTCTTTCTGGCATGTGGATGTTTATCAGGACATGATGAGGATGGCTAAACATCTTGGCCAGGATTAATAGCTTATTTCATAAATATTTATGAAAACAGGAAACTGGTTGAATGATTTCATTAACTTAATGTATGAATAATAAAGCTTTTATGTTCTTTAAATATATTCATTGGAGAAAAATACATCACATTAAGGATTCAAATCGAAACACGATTAAAATATCATTTAGAAATGTAATAAAATAAATTAATAATGTTTTCAATCAGTGTCATGGAGCCACTGTGAATCAGTGAGTAAAGAGGTGGATGTCCCAGGTTCGATCCCAGTGCTGGCCGAGAAAGTACCTTCGTTCGTTCCTAGAGTTTTACGTCGACTTCCACCTGGGGTGATATCGTAGACAAGAGGAAGTACCTCAGATCTTACAGAGGCAGACCATCTTGGTACCCACAAATTGTAGTTCGTCTATTTATAGCAATTCTCTCTCTGTCTCTTTTCTCCCCTTTTGCATGCCTATTTTTTGGTGATTTTTTGGTCTAGAATGGATGAAGAGGGTTTGAATTAACATTTTCTGCCAGGTTTAGGTAAATATTCCAGATTTTGAGGCGGGAGGGTAATGGGGTTATCAGGTTGGCTGCGGTGATACATACGGCAAGTAGTTACATGTTTTTAGTATGCTTCTTCAAGTTTGTGTATCTCAAAATTTTGGTGGTCAATATCATAAAAATTTTAGTGCAAAGACATTACCATTTGTTCCTCTGTCTGTAGTGAAAAGCATTCAGCCCAATGAAAATTTGGGGAAAAGTTGGAGGTGTCACATACAAGCAGGGAATCGAAACCATGCCAGTTGACTCAATGACAGTCCTTTTGGTTACATGTGCACTCGTTAAACCACTAGACCACACACCTACCCCATCCCCTAACCTACAGGTTACTCTTATATAAAATTCAAACTGCCAAGGGATCTTTTACATGCACACCAATGTATACACAGGACCTCATTTTTTTGTCCTATCCCAACCACTAGACAGCTGTCCTTGTCAGTCCCTCCGTCCTGCACCAAACGTTGCCAACTTGTTTTAGGTGAAATGAACTGACAAGTGGTTGTCATGGATGAAAAATGGACAAATTATTAATATAGTCCTAACTAAACGTACTGACAGTATGACACTTGTTGTCTCCTCACCAATAACTAAACATCATGTCACCACAAGTAGCGAAAACATGAAATATGGACATATTATAATAATAATAGTCCTAACTATAGGTTCTCTCAACAACAACTTGATCAGTTTGTCTAAAGCTGTTTTCATTAACGAATACTCTTCGAAACGTCGCCCAAATAAAGAAGTAGCTGTTTTTCCATAGTTTATTGCTCTATCCAGTTACTAAATGCATCTCAAAGATTGTTTTCATTATTGCGGACAGATAGATGGGTTCTGTACCACTCACTTGCTGTATTATATACAAATTAATTATTGAATAGCCTTCACATATCAAAAATACCCATCTTCATTAGGCCAGTTGGTGCAGAAATGTGGGACTCTAAACCCTATTTCATTTATATCCAATTAAAACATTAATATTTATTTTAAAATGAGAGACTTTGAATTATTCAGGTTAAATTAAACAATGAAATTTACATGTGACAAATTCGAATAAAATGAAATGGGAGGGAGAGAGATAGAGAGATGTGGTTTAATGACCACTCAACATAAACTAGGTCATTTCGGGACTAACATACGGTTTAATTATATTTCAATAATTCACTTGCACATAGGAGTCTTTAGAGGACGTGGAGAAAACCCACGAGGTTGGACAGGCGACCTTACTCCTTGTCACATACAAGCAGGGAATCGAAACCATGGCAACTGACTCCATGATAAATCTTATGATCTAACATGCATGCGCTAAACCGTTCGGCCACCTAACTCCCCAGAACGTAAACAACCTGACAGGTTAGAGAGAGAGAGAGAGAGAGAGAGAGAGAGAGAGAGAGAAATGGAGTTTAATGTCCACTCGACACAAATTAGGTCATTTCAGGACTAACATATGGTTTTAATTTTATTTCAATAATTCGCTTGCGCGTTGGGGGCTTTAGCAGTGGGAGGAAACCGGTGACAGGTTAGAACAGTTGTCTTCCCATACTAAACTTCTATAATATTATTCAAGGAGGGAGGGGGGGGGGAACAAGTATTGTTTATTTAAACATTGAGTGTATTAAAATCTAATTAATAATTAACACCATCATAATAAACCATAAACATGTCAGCCACTATAACCATACTGATTTCATTATAACTTTACGACAGTTTTATATCCGGAGTTACCTCATCCTTGCACAACAACCATCTTTACGACCCCCCTCTTTAGTAAATTTTATTACTTCATTAGTATTAATAGTACACAAAGGACCTATAAGGGACTAAAAGGGGCTGTCTAGTAACACTGACATGACATAATGCGGACAATAAAACATGTCATATTTAGATTAGCGACATAAAGTTTTATATTTTTATATCGGGAGAATTAATTATGGTAATATAAGGGTCAATAAAAGGCTGTCCTCGGACATGAAGTTATATAATCTTCATCAATAAACCATGTCATAGATTAGAAACATTAAAATTATCAATTTTTATGTCAGGGTAAAATTAATAAAATGTCGGATTCTGGATGTAAAGCTTAATAAGGGACTGTCCACTAACAATGTGAAGGAGCTGTACGTTGATTAACAATGGCATGATATTACATAATCATTGCCAATAAAAGATGGGTTAGTGGTAAATGATAAGGCCAGCTCAATTTTTTCGTCATAGGTCATGAGATGTAAACAGGGCTAGCATTAATCCTAACTCTAACCCTAACCCTGGACCTAGCCCCAATGCGTACTCTACCCTAACCGTAACCTACAATCTCGCCAACAATCACGTGCCCTAACCTTATTTACATCTCAGCGACCTTAACAAAACTTGAGCGGGCCTTAACAAATAGATTTAGCGATAAAAGATGTCATAAATTCAAAAGTCATAAAAGTATATATATTTATATATAATCAAATGGAAATTTAATTAATAGGTTAAGTGATAAAAATAGTCTTTAAATTCTGTCAATTTTAATGAAAACTTTGTTTAAATTTTTCCTTACAGTTCTATTTCAAATTATGTTTAAAGAATTCATTTCCTGACATTTCTGTCTGTTTCCTGTTATTTTATTATCTATGACATAATAAACTTTGTCTCCACACTGTATTGAAGAATTAGAGAGAGAAAGAGAAAGAGAGAGAGATAGAAAGAGGGAGAAAAATGGAGGGACAGTGGGAGAGAAAGAGCAAGGGAGAGGAAGAATGAGACAGAAAGAGGGAGGGACAGTGGGAGAGAATGAGAGGGGAGGGAGAAGGCGGACAGTGAGGAGAGAGAGAGAGAGAATGAGGGACAGTGGGAGAGAATGAGAGGGGAGGGAGAAGGCGGACAGTGAGGAGAGAGAGAGAATGAGGGACAGTGGGGAGAGAAAGAGAGAGAGATGGGTTTAATGTCCACTCAACACAAACTAAGTCATTTTGGGACTAACACATGGTTAAATTTCATTTCAATAATTCGCTTGCGTGTAGGGGTCTTTAGCAGTGGGGGGAAACCGTAGGACCCAGAGAAAACCCAGGAGGTTGGACAAGCGACCCTACTCCTTGTCACGTACAATCAGGGAATCAAAACCACGGGAGTTGACTCAATGACAGACTTTATAATTGAACATGCATGAATTAACCATTCAGCCACCCAACCCCCGTGGAGAACAAGCATAAGCCTGCAGAGCTTCCTCTCATAGAATTATTGTGGTTTTTATTTGTTAATCAAGTAAAAATATATGCATGTTATTCATTATGAAATTACAGGTACCATTAATACCTTGACTTCATAATTAAATCATTTTATTTTACAGGTAAATTAAATCAATAATATATGTAGCAGGTACTTGTAACTTGTAGGTGTTACCTTGATTGTCTAATTAAATCATTTTCTTTTATATGCCAATTAAGAAATAAGTTAATTAAAGGTTTTTCAGGTGTCAAACTCCTGCTGTTTATAGATGACAATGAACTAAGAGTC